CACAGAAAGGAAGAGGGTGATAGAGAGAAATGGGGTTTCAAATAGCACTCTTATTTGCAAACTATCAAGAAAATTAACTTGATGTTTATCCACAACAATTCTCTAATTGTCCATGTCACGTTTTCATCAAAATACATCTAAATGGATAAATACATTTATTATGATCACTGAAAGAATACACAGATCTTGGACTATTATGTGTTTCAAACTCACTCTAGACCTACAGTATGTGAAGGACAACAACTGTGATTTTTTATTCTGTGTGACTGTGCAAAGTTTATTGCATTTTGTTTGTGTGGTAGCAAGTGCCAGACAAAGCACTTCACTTATACCCCAAATGTTATTTGTATTATGCTTTAAATTGTGTCCTCAAGGTATGATTTTCCACACACATACACAGGGGCAGATATGGTGCATTTTCCCCTTGACAGCCCTCTAATGCTCAAACAAACAAACCCGAAGTCATTTTCCAGCATTAGTCTGTGATTTTCATAAAACCTAGGATAAAGTGCATCTGCTCCCTGAAGCCATATATCAATAATGAGCAGTTCCCTTTCAAGGGAACTTGCGTTGCGTCGAGATTGATGCTATGGGAACACTTTGCGTCATGACATTGTGAAGCACATGTAAAATCAGTCCAATGGTGTGGCGGAACGTCAGACGCGGGTGACGTCACGAACCAGGAAACTATTAAAGGAGAACTCCGGCGCAAAATGAACCTTTGGTCTAATAAAACATTGGTACCTAGTTGACCGTTCTCTGAGATTTGTTTTCATGGTAATCGAAAGAGTTTTATCTCTAAAAACTGTTTAGCGTATAGCGCTAGTAATGGGGGCATTTAACCCTTTCACACGTACAATCGCACCGGTGTGATCAGTCTTGGCTGGTCCCTGGAGTGTACCATCACACCGGTGTGATTAGAGCGGTCAGTGCATCACGTCAACTGCTAAATTCAAACTTGCTCTCGCGCGTTAGCTGGCACTGAGCCAGAGATGGACGCTATCAGTGCTGTCATATATCATAACTATTGAGTGTTTTCAACCACATAATGTTTATTTAAGGTTTCAGACATTTAAATACAAATAAGTACTAGCAAAACAATGATTTTGAGTTTGTAAAATACACACTGATGTCTATGGAAGCGCCAATAACAATCATTTCAATTATAATAAGGCAGCACATTTTATTCATATCAGATACACATTGTGTAAGTAGCTTAACATTTGACCCTATTCTTCTCCCATTTCACCGGCCACTTACTTTCATGTATTTCGTGAGAAGTGGAGGAATTGACGTTGTAAATCCAACAGATCCGATTCTCTGAACGGTAAAACAAACTAAAACGGTGCCGCCCATTGTGCATACAGCTCAACTAACGCAATTGTTATAAAGATGTTTAAACAACAAAACCCATCCACTTGTACATATTTGACAATCGGAATATCAGTGTTTCATGATATAGCTAATACATTTGTGAATATTTTTAATAAAAAAGGAAAAATTACATAAAAGCAGATCATCATTCATTCAGCACTGTGTTCTGGTCGTGCTGTGTCAAGTGACAAGCAATGACGTGTCACCATGGAAACATTAAAGTGGCAAGTTCTAAATAACAGTCGCCTTGAAAAACTCACGCTGGGGGGTCAGTTCGAATATTTTAAACTTACGCGTGAAAGGTTTAATAAGTGAAAAGATATCGCTAGGGTTGCATCTTCGAGTGCTGAATTAGTTCGTTATGCAGCTAAAGTTAAAAATGCTAACACTGAGACAAATCGTGCCACAGATCAGATCCGAGGACTGGTTTTTCACGATAGATCTCAAGGATCCATACATCCACATTTCCATCCTTCTATTTCACAGGAAGTTCCTGAGGATTGCTTTTGAGGGCAAAGCTTACCAATGTCGAGTTATTCCGTTTGGCCTAGCATTATCAGCCCACACTTTCAGGAAATGTGTGGATGCAGCTCTGGTGCCTATGCACCAGTAGGGTATTCGCATCATGAACTACATTGACGATTAGTTGATTCTGGCTCAGTCGGAATCAGTTGGCGGTTCAGCATCGAGATGTCGTTCCCGCCCACATGAAAGAGTTGGGCGTACGGCTAAAAGCCAAAAAGAGTGTGCTTACTTTTGGCTGTGAAAAGAATATAGCTAGGCCAGTCACTCACTGGCTAGTCCAGTTACTCACTCGAACAGTTTCAGAGACTGATGGGTCTGATGGAAGCAGTGTTCAACATGATACACCCCTTCAGTGGTGGCTTAGGACCAAAGGCTTTTCCCCGAGGGGCAACCCCTTTCGCATGATCAGGGTTACGCAGCGGTGCATATGTGCCCTGGTTATGTGGAAGAAACCTTGATTCCTGTCCAGGGTCTCGTGCTGGGAGCTTCTTATCATCGTAAGATGCTAATGACAGATGCCTCTCTCAAGGGCTCAGGAGCAATCCTAGAAGGGCGCTCAACTCAGGGTCTGTGGAGGGACCACCATCTCATGGCACATCAACCGTCTAGAGATGTTAGCGATATTTTTTGCTCTAAAGAATTTCCTTGCAGATCTCAGAGGCCACCATGTGCTTTTCAACATCGGTGGTTGCCTATATAAATCACCTGGGGGGTTTGCGATCGTGTCCACTCTGCAAACTGGCATGCCAAATCTTCCTGTGGTCCCAGTGGAAGCTACTGTCACTCAGAGCAGCTTACATCCCTGGGTCCCAGATTATAGGAGCAGACATTCTGTCAAGACAGGGGCTGAGGCCCGGGGAATGGAGGCTCCACCCCGAGGTGGTGGAGCAAATATGGAGGGTGTTTGGCCAGGCACAAGTGGATCTATTTGCATCTCGAGAGACGTCTCAATTTCCACTTTGGTTCTCCCTACCGCATCCAGCTCCTTTCGGACTTGATGCTATGGTACAAACATGGCCGAGGCTACGTTTGAAGGCTTTTCCCCCGATCGGTCTGATCCTGGGAGTTCTGGAGAGAGTTCGCAGGGACCAGGTTCACCTACTTCTTATAGCCCAGTGGTGGCCGGGCAGAGTATGGTTCCCTGGTCTATTGTCTCTCCTCAACATGCCATCCAATGGAGCTACCCATTCTGTCCCAAGCAGGGGGCTCGATATTTTCCCTCCGACTGGAACTGTGGAACCTGTGGGCTTGGCCTCTGAGGGGGCCCAGCTCATAGGGACATTCTACATTCCAGAGCTAACTCCATGAGGAAACCTTATGCATTAAAGTGGAGCGTTTTTACTTTATGGTGTAGTGACCTTCAGTTGGACCCAGTTAACTGCCTAGTTGGTACAGTGGTGGAGTTTCTGCAGGAGTGGTTCACTCCAGGTCTATCCCCGTCCACTTTAAGTGTTATGTGGCGGCCATAGGTGGTTAGCACATTCCTTTGGGTGGAATGTCTTTGGGAAAAGACCAGTTGGTATCTTGTTTCTTCCGTGGTGCTCTGAGGCTGAGGCCTACAGCTCGTACCGGGGTGCCGACATGGGATCTGGCCATTGTCCTTCAGAGGCTTTCCCTGGCTCCCTTTGTGACTGCAGGAGGTTCCAGATAATTTCCTGAAATTGAAAGCTTTGTTCTTCCTCACTATCTCTTCTTTTAAAAGGATAGAAGATTTGCAAGCACTGTCGGTTGCTCCCTAGTGGTTGGAATTTGAACCTGGCATGGTTAAAGCGTTTGTTCCATGGTTAAAGCCATCCTAGACCAGTTATCTAGGATATGTTCCAAAGGTCCACACTAACGTGGCCAGATCAATTAAGCTGGAGGCCTTTTGTCCTCCTCCCTTCCAGAACTCAGACCAGGAAAAGAATAATCTGATTTTCCCAGTTTGGATGCCAGATGCTTATGTCCACAGAGCTGCCCTGTGGCGTAAATCTAAACAGCTGTTTGTATGTTTCGGGCCCCCTAACAAACGGTCCCTTGCATCTAAGCAAAGAATGAGCAAGTGGGTGGTCGAGGCTATCTCACTTGCTTATGAGTCGGCCGGACAGCCTTCACCTTTAGCTATTCGTTCCAACTCTACTAAGAGTATGGCGGCCTCTAAGGCCCTTATATCAGGAGTTGCCCTCTAAAATGTATATAATGCGGCAGGGTGGTCCTCCCTCCATACATTCATCAGGTTTTAATCTTTGGACTTTGACTCTACAGCAGGGTCTCAGGTGCTCTCGTCTTATAGTTTCTATATGATGTTCAGCCACACCATTGGACTGATTTTACATCAGTTTTACATCTGCTTCAAGACGTCATCACGCAAAGTGCAACGCTCATTCCCTCTTCAGGGAACCGAGGTTATAGTCGTAAGCGAAGCGTTTTATGCTCTTTGGTGTAATGCAAATTCCAGCCAAATGTTGGTAATTACCTATTTTCCCTGAATCAATGTGAATGCATATTTTTCTTTGGAATTAATGCATTACATGAGCTTTTAGAGCCAAGGCCAAATGTTGGCACATATCAAAGGTATTTAAGGTATTGTGCTGATATTAAGAAAAGAAGAAAATAGACATTCCTGAACATAAAAAAAAAACAATTCAGAGACAGCACAGTCTTTCTATAGTGTTTCTACCCTATTACATTTGCCATATCTTTGTTCTCTCTCAAAAGATAGCCCTGTAGGAACACATGCCATTCTTAAAAAAATCTTTATCAGTAATTTAAACATGGAATTATGAATGAATTGCTGATTCACGGATGCACCGCTCTACAGTAATTTGAAAGTGATTGCAGTACCAGTTTTGGCCACAATCTTGCATACGGCACCTTTAAGTCAGATATTCTGAAGCTGCTTTTACACTTAGGAAATGATTATAAAAATCTGCTACTTCAAAAGGGCTAATACTGCTAAAAAACAATCATAAAACCAGAGGGACTTTAAATTGCTGCTATAGCAGCCAAACCAAGATAAGCATGTGCGTTTCACAGACATACACTGCGTTTCCCAGTCATGCACGACATCACACTCATTGCTTGCTAAGTTCAACACACAAGGCAGTAAGACAGAGAGATGATAGTGTGCACAACAAAAAAAAAAAACTTATTTTATTTGAAAGACATCTGTTTAAAAAATGTTTTACAAAAGTGTTAGAAGCTGACAAGTGGTAGTGGAAAAAAATGCAAATGCTGGTATTAAAGAGGGGATTATGTCTCTGATGGAGCAAGAGAGAGAGAGCATGAGTGTAAGAGAGGGAGGAAAAGCAGTCATTTTAATAGCCTGCACAGAACTAAAAACAGTTATAGATTTAGACATCATGGTCAATACATCTGCTTCAAATGATAAAATAAAAACTTCACCATGCAGTATCATAGGATGTGACACACTGAGAAAAAAAATCAATAAATCTCATTATAAACACAAATTATTTGGCATAAATGGACCTGATTAGTCATTTTATTCTGGAATGCAGCCATGCTACAACTCACAGCTATTTGGAGATAACACAATTCTTGACTAATTTCATCCCATAATCACATAGCTCACTGTTTATCCTCAGATATTTTGGTGAACTAATCTACACAACACTTTTTTAACTAGATTTCCTCTATTCCCCCTGGCAAGGAAAACACCACTGCCTGTTGCAGATTTTCCTGAGTGACTGTTGAGTAGTTGGTTGAGACAAGATGGTCTTGTTGTTTGGTATAAAACACCACATATGATGTGCCTGTAATCAGAACTTGTAAGTGGAATGTGGAATTGTAAGTAGTGGACACAGAGCACCAATCAGTCTTATTAGTCTTCTTATGGGCATTGCAGTGCTTCAAGATGGAAGGTGATTAGAAAGGCAAAAAGCAGTCATTAAGTCTTCAATTGATTAGTGGCAGATTGAAAAACAGAACACCTGATTAGGTATTTTCTTTTTGTGCAAGGAAACCAGTAAATAGTTTTAAAAGAGCTTTGTTGTAGCGACGGAAAACCGTCACTACATATATATGGATTTCTGTGGTCATGTCAGTGACTCTGATAAGTGTTGGTTAAAACAGGTAAGCTGGCATCTGTGTTTCATAGTTAATTACGAGAAGAAGCCAATTAGAGGTTGTAGGAAAAGCCCCAGAGTTCCCAGCACACACACCAGCACAAAGACCCAAAGGAAGATGCGGTCAATCACCATGGCAACATACTTCCAATCATCCTCCACCTAAGAGAGAAAGGGCACACAATAAATAGACAAAAAAAGAGATACGGAAGGTTAATAAATGAAAGAAAAGAGAGGTCAGAGGTAACAAGGAAAGAAAGAGACAGAAGGAAAATGAGAAATGTGAAAGCAAGGTAAATGGAGGAGAAAATGGCAAAGTGAGGATGAGAATGAGTGAAAAGCAGGCCTATAATATGTCCAGAATGTTTACTAACTACACAGTGACAGGGATAAGTTCAATTATATTGTGCTACTATAAGTAGAGCTGAGCTAAACATTTTACCTGCATATATTTAGGCACTGGGTGCTTTACAATGCAAATTTGATTCAGTAGTGAAGCTCTGAGCCAAGAGTGAAGATGAAGGATTAAGTGGTGAGACTTTCCATATCAAAGTGTGATGTCTCTGTTGAGGGATCTAAAGCACTTATTGCCAGTGAAGCACTCAGTAAACATTTCCACTGAGAGTAGAGGAGTCTGTAAGCTTATGCTTGATGTCTGTGATGTATAACCTGTCCTTCTGAGGATATTACAACCAAAACATGGTATGATATTGGAATTTGAGTCAGGCACTAAGTGGGAACCTTCTTCCAATGGGTAATAAAGGATCTTTATTGTAAAGACATTATGATATCTTAATGGACAAGTGGATGGAACAATGGCACTTCATGCATTACCATGTGACTAAAGGTACAGTTAAGCATGCAATTACTGTTCCCAAAGGGAAACAAAGTACAACACACTGACTATTGGAAATCACACTTGATTTTGGTATTCACTTAGTCAGAGTTTTCCGGGTGGTGCTCAGCTAAAAACCTAGACCCACAGTGCTGTGGTGTTACAGAGGTTCTCTCCTTCCAACAGAAGCTTCTGGACGCTCAAAGTGTATTATGCAGCCATAGCAGAGTTTATAAAACCCTTGCATTGCCAGTCATTGGGGAGGAATGATCTCATCGTCGGCTTCCTTAGAGGGGCTAGGAGGCTAAACCCTCCTCACTCCCAATGGTCCCGGTCTGGAACCTTTTCACGGTCCTAGATGCTATGAAAAGCAATCCCTTTGAACCACTGCAGTCTGTGGATCTGCAGTGTCTCTCGCTCAAAACCGCTTTTCTTATGGCTCTCGCTTCAGTTAAGCGAGTGGGTGACCTGTTACAACCAGCGCTCTCTGTGAGCGTTACGTGCTTTGAGTTTGGGCCTAACGACTCTAAAGTCATTCTCAAACCAGTACAAGGCTATGTCCCCAAAGTGCTCTCCACTCTGTTCAGAGAGCAAGTCATTTCACTGTCAGCCCTCCCAGGATCTGATAGTGGGCGCTAAGAATATACGTTGAGCATTCGGCTGCTTGCAGGCAGTCAGAACAGCTTTTTATTTCATCTGTCAGCTGCACTAAAGGGCTTGCCGCTTCGAAAGAGAGCCTCTGCAGATAGATAGTTGACGCTATCACTCTGGCTTATAAGTCGAAGGGCCTTCGATGCCCTTTAGGCGTTAGGGTCCACTCCACTAGAGGCATGGCCTCTTCATGGGCCTGGTCCAGTTGGGTTTCACTCCAAGAAACTTGTATGGCAGCAGGCTGGGCCTCTCCGTCTACATTTATAAGGTTTTACAACCTGAAAGTTCCTGCGCTACAGGCTAAGCTGTTTTCAGCCTATTACCATTATTTACCATTATGGTAATAGGTAATTACCATTATGTACCATTATTTCATCATGCAGCTCAGGCTGACTTCGTCCTTACTGTTATACTGTGCTATGCTATGTTATATTCTTAGGCCCACGCCTCGTTGGCCTAGACATTACCCACTATCATGTGAACCCTGGGCACATGCCCTTGGGGCCATGTGTGGACTACCCTAGCACGCATGGCGCTTTACATTGGGTTCCCGTAGCGTAAGCTTGCTTATGCAACACAGAAGTACTCTTGTAAGAGAACGTACTTGGTTACAAACTCAACCTCGGTTATCTCTAGATGAGGGAACGAGTGTTGCGTAACCCTGCCATGTTTGTGCTGCGTTCTGGTTTTGCTTCAGTATGAAAAACCAAAGAACAACCTATCTGGACTCTGCTTATATAGACATAAGCCACGCCCCTTTTGGCAGAACATGACGTAGACTCATTGGTGCTTACGTCAAGTACAGTCCCACGATAGGTTGCAGCAGTTGCTGCAGAGCAACCAATAGGCATGCGAGCTGCCTCGCCTAGGTCTGCTTTGTGCAGCAATGCGTTTTAATTTAATGTAAAATTAAGGATAATTTTTTGGTTTCAGCATTCTCGAGAAAAGGGGATTACTACAAATTGCTGTATTTTACATACAACAATTAACTGTAAATTGCTTTTCAGTATTATACTGTAATCTATTTTACAGCAATTAACAACATATTACAGGACTTTACAGGCAACTTCAGTGTACATCCACCTGGTAGAAATACAAATACTGCTGTGTACGTCATTCCCACAGTTCATAGATGCGCATCGTCCCCCTGCTTCTCGGACAGTCATTATGTATTCATAGTTATATATATAGTTGCTCTACTCTGTGCAGTACTTTGACTAAAGGACAAATATCTAGCAAATACAGAACAGGAATAAATATGACAGCTTGGAAACAGCCATCCCACGAGTTGAATGTCTGTGCAAACCCTCGGGCTGTTACAAGCCAAGAGATAGCTTCCACAATTCAGTGAGAAAGATGTTGACTGCACTGTACAATGAGCTGGATTGGCAAAACAGACAACAATTTAATCTAACAATTGAAAAGGTCTTAGACATATTGTTGGATAGTTTAAGGCACCTCACATTTCTCAAGGGGAACCCCACAGATTTCCATATGACATGCTGAACAACATGACATCATAACATTTTTTCGTAAACATACACGCCACTTTCAAGTCAAGTGGCGTGTTATCTCTACGCATTTTGAGCTATCCGCGTGTATGCGTGTGTCTACAGCATTAACGTCCGAGTGATTCCGCGTGTCTGTACACGCCGTCAAATGTCCGAGCGAAACGAAGCAAAATGTACATCTACATCTGGGGAGCGATCATTTTTTTCCTATAGGATGGTAAGGGGACAGTCATAAATGCCATTAACCCCAGTGACGGGTAGGTTTAAAGACGGGGTTGAGGTAAGTCATATATTTATATATACAGTAATAACGTTAAGTCAACGGCGTTCATAAACACTCTGAAAAGCGATAATGCGTGTTGATAGCACGCCAAAAATGGAAATACGAATTGGCGTGTCATACACATGCTACTTCATGAGATCAGTCTGTGCTGAAAGATTTTCTAGACTTTTAGAGTTATAGAAAAGGGAAAAATGAATAAAAAATAGACTGTTTGTAGAGGCTTCGCCATTGTGAGCTCTAGAAACAACACTGAGCCCACAATATTGACTTCAAAGCCTACAGCTCTGGATAGCGATGCAGAACTTCCCCCTTTGCTTGGGTGAGCAGAACTGTAGCAAATAGGAAACACTAAGGTCCAGATATACTAACAGCTAGTGCCAGCGCAAACACACTTTTGGCCTAAAAAAATGGAAGCTTTAGCGTAAGTTCTGCCAGGAAGACTCAATAGCATCACATATTACCTTCTCATCTATCCAATCGTGTCTAACACTTGTGTAAGACCAGTACTTACACATGTTTGAGTTTGCAGATGCTGATGTTTTCATTCACCTCCATCCTTCCCACCACCACCAAGATGGTTCCTTCCCCTCTATCCTCCCCACCACCACCAGGATGGTGCCTTCCTCTCCATCCTCCCCTCCACCACCAGGATGGTCCCTTTCTATACCTCCCAGGGGTTCGGCTGCGCCCCTGCCTTCGTCTTCAGGCAGGAAATGCAGAGTCCGGACCCAACCTATGGACGGGTCCTACGCCAAAGAACTTTATTGCTTGCTGGGCTATCAATCAATGTGTTATATATGTGTTACATATATACTTGTTATGGTATTTTTTGGAGACTTGTTATGGAGTCTTTCTGGTAGAACTAATGTAAGGATTTAGTAAAGACGCTGACCTTATTGCATATGCATTTCTAGGAGTTTCCCTTTCAGGCGCAAAAAATATGGGAGGAGAGTATTAAATGTAGGTGAATGATGTCAGCATACCATGTTTTCCCTCCATGAGACTATGTCACTCCCACCAATCTGTCAGCAGGATATACACAGATGCCTGGACAAAATAGAGCACTGAACAGGAAGCCTAATTTGACTACTACTATCATAGGGGTCATCAGCTCAAGCAGGCGCAAAAGTCTAGTTTGCTGCCCAGCTTACACTAATGTGATAGTTGTGAAACACAACTCTTTGTGTGACAGAAAAGCTCTATTGCAAATGGAGATAAGTTACATGACAAGGAACCTTATATGTTGGCAGGGGAATACAATTTTGGCGGTGTGTTTATCCAAAGAGAACAATCATTTCATAGTCAATGTGTTGTACAGATTGTATTGACTGAGTGAATAGGAACCCCTTTACCTCTTTGGCTTTGTTGCGACTCCTCATGTTCTCAGCAATGTACTTCACACTCTCAATAGCCTGTTTGATTTCTGGTGACACCACAGAGAAAGCCACAACTGTGTTAATAGCCTGTGGACTCAACTGACGACTCACTTTCCCACAATCACCCTCGGTTGCCTCTTTCATTGGGTGACAAGGGCATCCCCCTTTCTTTCCTTCTAATGCTGCTTTCCCTTCTCCAAATTCCAAAGAGTTCATCGCTCCCTGTTGGGATCCACTATTTTTCCTCTTCTTTCCCTCTCCACCTCGTCCCGCTCCAGTCGCAGAAGAGCTCCCGCTTTCTAGTCCTACTTTTCCAGAGGACTCTGATAGATCGAGAGGCCGGCGCATAAGCATGATGCGGGGTAAAGCTCGGAGGAAGACAGTACGTACCCAGCTAGGCATAGTATGGGTCATGGGGGTGCGATAGTGCACATTCAATACAAAGACGGTGATGACAATAGAGAGGGTGACGAAAATCATGGTGAAGAGAAGATACTCGCCTATCAGGGGGATCACAAGTGAGGTGGAGGGGATGGTTTCTGTTATGACAAGAAGGAACACAGTGAGAGAGAGGAGTACAGAGATGCACAATGTCACTTTCTCGCCACAGTCTGATGGAAGGTAGAAGACGAGTACTGTCAGAAATGAGATGAGGAGGCAGGGGATGATAAGGTTAATAGTGTAGAAGAGGGGCAGTCGGCGTATGTAAAAACTGTATGTTATGTCTGGGTAGATCTCTTCACAGCAGTTGTACTTGATGTCATGCTTATAACCGGGTGCATCAATGATCTCCCACTCTCCACTCTCCCAAAAGTCTTTAAGGTTGACCTTTGAGCCAATGAGAACCAAGTCAATCTTTGCCTTGTCATAGGTCCAGGAACCAAACTTCATTGAGCAGTTCTGATAGTCAAAGGGGAAGTAAGTGATGTCCATAGGGCAGGATGATTTGAAGATTGCAGGAGGGACCCAGGTGATGGTTCCATCATATTTCAACAGAGCTTTGGTTTTGTCTTCCACCAAGAAGTCCCCAACAGCACTGGGTCAGAAAAAGAATATTTGAATGTTATGATTTTATGAAATTTAACCCTAATATGACTATTAGCTCTGTTGATGCTCATTTCGCTCCAAAAGAAATTAAGAATTTTAAAATATCCCTCAAATGACTACATTTCTAATATTTTAATATTAAATTTATACAAGTTGCATGTTAAGTTGGAATACTTTACTCACTTGTTGTAAAGTACAATGTCAGGCCTCCAGATTTTATTTGATGGAACTCTGATGAACTCAATTCCATCAAACTCTACTGGTAACCACTTCAGCTTGTAGTCATTCCATATCTATGACAAAATCACAAAATATTACATCTAGGATTTACACTGGTATGTGTTCCTCAGTCATCCGTGCCCTATCATAGTCTTTAAAAGTCTTTAAGTGTGTTTTTGTGTGTGCACATCACTCCATCTGCAAGGGGAAAAATGCTTTTTCTGTTTGAACAGGTATATTGTATATTACCATTTACTATCAGATGTGAATACAGAGCTGAAAATGTTTACAGTGGTTTATTGTATAGTTGTGATTTTGTGCTAGTATTTTGGGTATGTAGAGATATCTCAATAAGACTGCTTATCTCTTTATGTTGATACCGAGATACTGCTATCAGGTGTTGTACCATACTAAAGGGTTTAAAGGATTAGTTCACTTTTGAAAAAACTTTTGCTGATAATTTACTCACCCCCATGTCATCCAAGATGTCCATGTCTTTCTTTCCTCAGTCGAAAAGAAATTTAGGTTTTTGATGAAAACATTCCAGGATTTTTCTCCATATAATGGACTTCAATGGGAACCGGATGGTTCAGGTCCAAAAGATAGTGTTAATAACAGTTTCAGATGCAGCTTCAAATGTCTTTAAACGACACCAGACGATGAATAAGGGTCTTATCATGCGAAACAATCGGTTATTTCAATGCTTATTCCAAAAATGTAACTTTTCTAAGGACAAATGCTAGCCTTTCTCCATTCTGTGAGGCGCGTTTGCAATGTCACGTAGTACGTAATTACGTTCAAAAGGTCACGGGCGACGTAGCCAGAAGTACAGAGTCAGAGTGTTTACAAGTTGAACGCATAGGTTGAACGTGAAAACTAACTCAAACGCCGTTTACAAAAAAGGAATTAAAAGGTAAAACAACGATGTCGGACGATTTTGATTCTGTACTTTCGGCTACGTCGCCCGTGACCTTTTGAACGTAATTACGTATTACGTGACGTTACAAACGCGCCTCACAGAATAGAGCAAGGCTAGCATTTGTCCTTAGAAAAGTTACATTTTTGGAATAAGCTTTGAAATAACCGATCGTTTCGCATGACCCTTATTCATCGTCTGATATCGTTTAAAGACATTTGAAGCTGCATCTGAAACAGTTAATAACTGTCTTTTGGACCTTGAACCATCCGGTTCCCATTGAAGTCCATTATATGGAGAAAAATCCTGGAATGTTTTCATCAAAAACCTAAATTTCTTTTCGACTGAGGAAAGAAAGACATGGACATCTTGGATGACATGGGGGTGAGTAAATTATCAGCAAAAGTTTTTTCAAAAGTGAACTAATCCTTTAACATAAGCACAGACATTCTTAGAAAAATGTGCAAAAAATACAAAAATGCTAATTTAAGCAGTAAGTTTAGCGGTCATGCAGGAGCATCTTGAACTAACTATTGTAGAATTTAAATATAACCAGACATTTCCAAAGAAACCCAATTACTAATAATTGGGTGCAATATTATTTTCATTATAAAAGAAAAAAATATGCAGTACTTTAGACATTTATGAATTCATATTGTATATGGTGAAAAATAGGTTGACTAAATTAATAAAGTTCTAAATTAAAATAATTAATTAAACTAATTAAAAAAACTTTTCTGACTGTGAAAAACCTATTATTATTATTTAGCTGATTATTAAAACCAAACTGAATTGTTTGATCTAGTTAGACTAAACCATTTTTGCACATATTTTAGCATATTTTTAACCTCTTTCTTTCCATTCGTTTTGGAGATAACAACTGTGCTAAAGTACCTCTCAGTTTTCAATTATTTACATAGATACCTTCTCATCTGTTCCATCTACTGTATATATCTACTTTATTCCTCGTTCCCTGCATTACTCAATATCATCCTATTGAATGTTTGTGCTATGTACATTTTCTTGTCACAGTACATTATGACTGTCAATGAGACAACAATGACATGCACAAGGTGCAACAGTACATGCTGCACACGTACATCACTTACATGTCTCAGCCAAAGGTTTGTTTCCATGATCTGATTGACTTCATCCTTTAAAGAGGAAGACAAAGAGAAAGACGAAGAAGAAAGAAGACAGCCTTGCTCTATTATTTAGAATGGAACATAGCAACAAAATCAATACAGTTCTTGTCTAATGGGAAAGGAAGATCTGACAAGAACCCAGAAAAGGGGTTTGGAGGGCTAATTTTGCATACTGTATGCCATTAATCCCAGTAACCTCAAAAGTGATAATAGCTTCTGCATATTCACTAGAAAACATCTGCACACACACACACACACACAAAAAAACCTTGTTGAGCAGAAATTCTCAATCCTGTGAGTGAGTATAATCTATAATCCAGGATTCTGTTGCATAGAGTGGTGGGTTATGGCTTGTTAATCTCTCAGGTGTGTGCAGCAAGAATAAAGGTGTGATGATTATCTTTGCCTCTTTCCCCTGGTAAAGTGGAAATTTAATCCAGGAGTTATAAGAGCCATGCTGAATTTGTATGACGCCAGGGAATGCACAGAGTCTGCACTACTTCCTGTAACAGCGGGGCACAAAGGCTTTTAACTCAATTGCACTTTCTGACCACAGTAAATGAAACAAAAAGCCCTCAAAACTGAAAACAGCACAGAATTACACAAAGCACCCTGTGGAGAAAACAACTTTGCACTATATCCTTACAAAAATCCTATATTGAGCTTTATTCAAGGGTTAGTTCACCCAAAAATGAAAATTATGTCATTAATAATTACTCACCCTCACGTCGTTCCAAGCCTGTAAGACTACTGTTAATCTTCGGTACACAGTTAAAGATATTTTTGATTTAGTCCGAGAGCTTTCTGTCCTTCCTTTTAAAATGTATGTACGGTAAATTGTCCTTGTCCAGAAAGAAAATAAAGACATCATCAAAGTCGTCCATGTGACATCAGTGGGTTAGTTAGAATTTTTTGAAGCATCGAAAATACATTTTGGTCCAAAAATAACAAAAACTATTACTTTAATCAGCATTGTATTGTCTTCGATTCTGTTGTCAATCCATGTTCAGTGATGCTGCTGACGTAAGACGCGTTGAATTTGGTGTGTCCGTGTATTTGGGTTTAAATAAATATGCCTGGGCAAAAAAATGCAAGTCTTACTCTGTGTCGAAATCCTTTAGACATGTTTGTGAAGATTGTTTTGTTTACAGAGCGCATCTCCTTCAGACTGTAAACGAAGCTCGAGCGCACCAAATAACATGTCAGCAGTGTCTTATGTTGCCAGCGTCACTGAACGTGGATTGACAACAGAACCGGAAGAGAGTACAATCCTGAATAAAGACGTAGTTTTTGTTATTTTTGGACCAAAATGTATTTTGCATACAAACATTCTAACTAACCCACTGATGTCACATGGCCTACTTTGATGATGTATTAATTATTTCCTTTCAGGACAAGGACAGTATACATTTTCAATAGATGGGCAGAAAGCTCTCGGACTAAGGGTGTACTCACACTAGGCACGGTTGCCATGAACCGGGCCCAAGTACGATTGTCCCCCCTCCCCACTCCCCCTCTGGCCTGCACTCACATAGGGTTTCAGCAGCATTCGTGCCGGAGCACGCTTACGTCATTATGGTGCGACGGTTTCGGGATAAACAAGAAGAGCGGCGCTCTCTGAACACAATGGAGTCCATCGCTCTGTTGTCTTTGTGGATAATTTTGTCATTTGGTCCACGGTGGTCCACAGCCCTCTCACAGCCTGTTGTTAAACAGATGTGTCGCCTTAGTGGCGCGAAAATTTTCACGTAATCGTGCTGCTCGTATGAGGAGGTTTGCAAGTTACCAGCTGAGGTGCAGCAAGGACTTTGCAGCTTTGATTACGGACTACAGTTCCCAAAACCATGACCTCACGCATCCTGTTCCGAGCTCCAGCACGGTTAGCGCTCACACTGCATGTGAACCGCGCCCGAGTCCAACTGAACCGTGCTCTGGCCCACCTCTTCCAAGCTAATCGAGCCGCGCCCGGGCACGGTTCGGAGCACTCACACTAGTCAAACGAACCGCGCTTTGGTGCTCAAACGCACTCGGGCACGGTTCAAACTGGCTAGTGTGAGTACATCCTAGATCTAAAATATCTTAAACTGTGTTCCGAAGATGATGGAAGGTCTTACGGGCTTGGAACAACATGAGGGTGAGTCATTAATGACATAATTTTCATTTTTGGGTGATCTAACTAAGAGGTCAAACGTGCTTGCATTTGATTGAGCTTTAGTTTACACAACTAATTTATTTGGACAAGAATCTTCTAGTGTTTTGATGCAAATTTCTCAGCTTTGCTTGATTCTCTTTTTTTCAATAATGCTTAACAATATGATGATGATTTGTAATTGGATTTATTAGTGGGTTCCTTCTTTAGATAAATATTAACCAAATATGCACAAATATATAAAAAGTCTGTCCAGTTAAGATTGGCTAAATATAACATTTGAATCTTATTAAATATATGTTATATATTAAATTATTGTTTTTAAAGATTTAAAGTGAGTGTTCAATGATTGCAGACAAAACATGTAAAACTGGGCAAGCATTCACAATTAAATATACAGTACTGATATATTGATCATTAAAAAATGTTTATACTGACTAATAACCAATATATGATGTAGTGCTAGTAATACTGACCACAATTCAAGTGAGAGTTACATTTTATCACAGATGTCAGAACAAAAATCGGGTTAAATGTTTTGAGACCATGGACAGTTTTTCTTACCACTTTAACAAGCTGTGAGATGGAGACCTCAAACTCCACAGTGACAGGGTCAGACACATTTTCGACTGGCCGAATGAATTGATTATACCTCCTGAATAAACGACGAAACAGCCTGTCTTCTCCTTTAGATGATATACAATCTGCACAAACACACACATACAGAGATAAACACACATACAGGAACAGAAATTTACTTTAGTATGCAGTGCACTGGGTGGGACCCAGGGACAGACTTCATTCATTATACAGTGGATGGCGAAATAGAAACTACAAAGAATGAGGCACATCCTGTAGTACAGTAACATTTAGAATCAGGAATGTAATGTATGTAAAAGTGATATGGTTGATATGGTTTTCAAAACCAAAGCAAATCAAGAGAACATGGTTGATATCTTTATTTCAAGGAAAGCAAGTAAGCTAAATTGGCTGAATTTATGTGATTATTGTACAAAATATTTACTTAAAGGGCACCTATTATGGAAAATTCAATTTTACATGGTGTTTGAACATGTGTGTTGGTGGTGTGTGAGCAAAACCACCCTAGAATGATAAAAATCCACCCAGTGGTTTTTTATTGAGTGGTTCTCAATAAATCATATGCACTGTCTCAGAACGAGCTGTTCTAAGATTCAGCTCTTTGTGACATAGAATTGAGCAAGGAGTTTGATTGACAGTGTGGTTGTGGCCTAGACCCCGCCCTCGGTGATCTGTGCACCATCCTCCATTGTTTCAACGACGACAGCCGGTAATGTCTCTTGGAAACATAAGTGTTCTGTCGTGGACTCGTGGGTTAATCCTGTTGTTGTGGCTTAAAAGTTAATCCTCAAGTGTGGATCGTTGTCTACTGTTTGCGATCCAACGTCACCAGGGCCTGAAGTAAATTTTTTCGGCCACCGGCCACTGTGGCAGGTGGATTTAAAAATTCACCCGCCACAGAGACTTTTTACCAGCCATTTTTTTTTTTGCCTCATAAACGTAAAAAAAAAAAAAAAAAAACAAACCCGGGAATTTCACAATATTGTTCTTTAACTTGTAAGAACACACATTTTAGTGCTGTCAAGTAATAATAACTCTAATAACATACATAAAAAAAAAATATTTTTATTCATTGATTTTGACAGACACACACACACACACACACAACATATATAGTATATACTCAACAGATAGACCTACCGCAGCTCGTAAACAAATCACACGCGGCTGTGTTGATGGCGGATTTAGTCACGTACAGGTCTTACTCTTAACAGCTTTTAGTTACAGCGTTCAGGAACGGTTAAATATGAACTAAATTAATAATGTTATTACTGATAAAATTACCGGGTACCGGACATTTTCTCACCGGTTCCCAACTCCCAACATGCACAGTTGCACACGCACACACATCTGTGCAACTGTCATTGTACTGTAACCTACAACAGCGACGCGTTACATTATCTCATCCCATCTCATCAACAGTTTAATACTCGCACACGTAGTCAGAAAAAGAGCCTCATCTTCTTTCTGATCGCATGAACGTTACGAAACAACAGTCGCTGTCATAAATCAGCCGCTCACGAACCTTGCCATTGCCGCCGATTGTTCACTTTGTATTAAAATGTCTTCTTTACTTTTCTTTTTCTCATCCTCATCTTTTTGTTGGCTGTTTGTTTTGTTTCAGCTGGCCTCTTTACCCCAGTAATGTGCCGCCACATTTTAGCTAAAGTCCACCGCAATAGCGGACTTCGTTGAAATGTAAAAATCCTAATGAATCACTCAATTCTCATTGGCTACCCGCCAATGTGGCAGGTAGATTGACAGTGTTACCCGCCAATAGCAAAATTCACCCGCATTTGGCAGGTGGTCGGGTGTTAATTTCAGGCCCTGAACGTCACCTCTAGTAAGTGTATTTTATGATTTTTGAGCAAATAGTCATTTCAGTCTGTCAGCCAATTCAACAACAAATGCGTCTAAAGTTGTTGTCGTCGTAGGATGTCTGTGTATATAATTTAAACATTGTTTGTATAGTGTGTAACCACACGTTTATAAATATATATTTAAAGATATTGTATTAAAAACTGCATATATGTTATTGTTCTTTAAGTTAGCCATCACATTTGCTACAGAAGCACCTGTATGACAAGTAAACATGACGCCACAGTTCCCTCGCATAAATGTAATTTCGCTTGTACGTAGCAAACTTTATCACAGAATGTGTATGTAGTTTCAAAAAATTGTGCCAGCGTTAGTGTTTGTTTGTGTCTGTGTGTGTGTGTTCCACATCCATAATTGCAAATGTGACGCTATTACAACTCTATAGGTACATAAATGTATCAAATTACCATACTGAGACGTACTGGTCCATTCTCATTTGTGTTTATTCTGCCGGAGTCTCTTCGTACTATTTATATATTCCGATTCAAACGTATGCTGAATGACAGACAAAACAGGCGTCTCACTCTCTCAGTACCGGCTGCCATAGGTATCAAGTTACGCCCTCGTCAAAGGCAGGGTGGGGATATGCAGCTCATTTGCATTTAAGGTGGTATACACCCAAAACAGCTAATTTTTAATCAGGCCCCAAAATGACATTTTCAAATGGTTATAATTAATTAACTATGTGGTATTTTGAGCTGAAACTTCACAAAAACATTCTGGGGACACCCGAGACCAATATTACATCTTGTAAAAAGGGGCATAATAGGTGCCCTTTAATTCACACACAAACACACACACAAGCACAGTTGTCAGCTATTGTCAGTAATCCAAAACGGGCAAATAATTTTGTACTTGTATCCGTGAAAATTCTGCTGTTTTTGATTGTCCCTCACTCTATTTTGTGTTTTATATTTCGAATGCATGTTGTTTTGTTATAATGTGAGTGTTTACTCTGGTTGCTTTTAGCATATTCCTTGGGGTCAGAGCCAAAGTCCTACCACCAGACACTATAGGGTCCAAATATAGCTCTCAAGGTTAGAGGTCATCATCAGCATCACCAGAGAGACCAGATGTAATCAAGTGGAAAATGGAACCACTTTAAAATAGTGCACTCTGATGGACCTAGAAAAGTCTGAAGAAACACTGAAGAACACCCGACGAGTCAAGAACAGGGTATGGGTCGCAAGTAGTCACATATGAGGTTAGCCTGTACTAATGCAAAAAGAGGCTTTCAAATTTTCTAAACATATGCAATGTCCAGAAGTTTACATTTCAGTGTATCTTGATACTTGTCAGTGTACTTTTGTTTCTTTTGCCTCAACTTTTTCCTTATCAATTGAAAGATGATGTATATAAAAATTAATAACTAATTATAGTTAAAGCTGCTATATGTATTTGTTAACAGCCTCTATCGGTGATGTTTCAGATTGCAAATAATTTTTCCAAGAATGCTTGTGCTCTTGTGCATGCTTGAACACAAGAGCGAGCACTCATGTTACACGGCCACACTGAGACTTTCAACACACCGGAGAAAGCATCACACATCATGCTGGTAACTCATGTCAACTCGTATTGCAACTTTACAATAATAGGCTACTTTTATTCAGCTTGACGTTGAACTAATGCTCCATGCTCGTACCATGATACCGTTACATTTGTGGTGCTATCTAGCATAAAGAATTTCACTTTTTTTGTATTTGTGTATCTTTCACAATCAGCAATGTCAACATAGGTGAATGTATAATATGACAAATGGATAACATAACAAAAACATTTAGTGAACTAGAGGGAACAATTTCAGTGTAACAGTAAGATTGTAGGAAGTAACATTGAACATGTCTGGAAATGTGTATTCTGAACAATATGATAGTAGTGGGATGAGTGATGTTAGACAGCTGTAGCTCTAGTACATAAAATAAGAAGTTACATCCTAAAGCACCTACTTTTTGTTATTCTGGAACAGTCTTTTGTATTCATTTCATGTCTCATATATGTTGTTGGCCTAGTTTACCTTGTTATTTCATTACAGTTTACCATTATTTCAGCATATCTGAAAACCTACTTTGTTACAAACATAACCTCGTTTCTCTCTAGTAGAGGGAACGAGTACTGCGTAATATCATACGCAAAGGGAAAGCCTCTTTTCCACAAGATATTGAAGCCAAAAATTATCCTTAACCCTCTGAGACCTAAGGGTATTTTTACAATAAATTTTCCGTCTGGTGTCATTTACTAAAAAAGCTTGTAAAATATCAACCCTTTGGTGCACAGACAATTGACACACCTCTTTTTTTTCAGGACAAATTGAACTTTCAGCATATTGGTGTTACATTGATGTCACCTGAATGTAAAATAAGTTATGGGACCATAAAGACAAATGAAAAAATAAATCGGAAATGGAATCACTCAATTATTTATTGAAATCACACACAAATAAATAAAAGCTAAGCAATTTTCCTCTGGAAAATAGTTTGTTCATGTCTTTGGAGTCCTGGAGCACAGGAATAAACATTATAACTTGTACAGAACAAAAAATATTGACATTTTTCCAAAAGAAGTCCAGGCGTTTGGGGCCTCATGAAATTCACTGGTGCCAAGCCTCAAAACAGTTCCTATCAGCAATCACACAGAGGGCCACATCACAGGTTTTGCATTTCTATTTTATTTATTCTTTTATTTATTATGTTCTTTTTATTCTTTTATAATACATTTATACTACTATAATACTTTTTTACAGTAAATAAATAAATGGCACTTCAGCTGGGTCTATCCTGGTAATCTAGTTCCTCATCTGTCAAAAAGCTCTGTTCTCCTGAAAATCCTTCATCCTGCAATGCACCAAAATAGACCAGCGCTTTATTTACGTCCATTTCGCTGTGTTTCTCTGTGAATCGCGCGTCTCCGTGAGTCTCTCTATCTCTCTACACTATATCAGCGCTTGGTTCATGCGTAATGACGCACACCAATGTTTACAACGGATCAGCCTGTAATTGGTCAAAAACCATCACGTGAAAACATCACGTGATATCCAGGATGTCCGCTAGCATCAAGCTAGCGGCAAAAATGACCGAATATTTATGAATTATGGGCTTCAAGATTATCAAAGTTTGACATAAAGCGTTTGGATTTATTGCTGAAAACCTCTGAAAGGAAGCACAAGTTCCAGGCTGGATAGAAAACCTTATGTAAAGGCTAGAAAGACCCGAAAGACACCCCCGTGATG